CGAAGGTGATCTCAGTTTTTGTTAGGGACTCGTATGACCCGTTTCCTTCACGTGATCCCCAAAGCTCCACCCTTTGTGAACACTCGCGTCAACCACAAGACTTAATTACTGCAAGTGGATCATATATTAGTTCAAACCTAATTCCGTTCGCTAAACCATAACAACGTAAGTACACATCTCTGTACTTCATGCAGTACAGGACCTCACTAGTGCGAGCTAAGAACAGAAAATGCAGTACAAATTCTAGTGACAGGGGTAGTACGTACGTACGTACGTTAAACTCAGCGAAGCTGGAAAGCTGTTAGTTCTTGAAGCCAAGCAAACGGAGATGAGCTCCGACTGGAGCGACCTGCTGACACATGGTTCCGGCAATGAATTCCGACGAAGGTCCATGTGTTCTCAGGTCGCCCCTGCCGGGCCTAATCTCCACCGCTTCTGATGATTCCATGAAGGAGAGTAATTCGATGCTCTTGTAGCTAGTCTCAGAGCTTGCTTAATTATAGGTGAGATCAGCTATAAATCTTTTAAAATTTTCACACAGGTTTTGATTAAATAAAAAAACTTTTCATACGTGTGTGTTGATTTAAACAATACTTTTAAATTCCGAATATTCGAGGTCTACTATAGATGAATTTTACCCTCCACATATTATCATTATTATTATTACTACTACTATCATTATTATTATTATTTGGTATTCTCAGAGCACGTACGTACGTATTTTAGCTTGTGAAATCTTCATTACTGAAACCAATAATTTGGTACAAATCTTGATCCTCTACGAAACTATACGACCATATTGATAGTGCGTGTTGACTGTGGTTCCACCATGGATGGATGATTGGCCCTGTAAGTGGTTTTTCTTTTAGTGCAAATTAGGAATGTGTACAATACACGGGGGTATGGTAAGTGTTAGATTTAGATTGTATCATAACCGCCTACTAAATAATCAACGATTGAGATTAAAAGTAGGGGTCTCTCCACTACTTTTTTGTAGCGGAGATGATCCAAATCCGAGGGGAAAAAAAAGGCGCTCTCTAGGATTAGTCGTGCTATTATAGTCAATAATCTAATGGTTACCTGTGTAGGTACAAACCATAGGCTCTTAGATCGTGCCTGGAGCTGAGACCGGGGCGAGGCTAATATGCATGAGCTTGGTTGTATTGTAATTTAGATGCGTTATGTAGGAAGCAACGCTGTTGAGATGGCCGAGTTGGTCTAAGGCGCCAGATTAAGGTTCTGGTCCGAAAGGGCGTGGGTTCAAATCCCACTCTCAACATCATTTAAATTTTTTATTTTAAATATTTTTAGATCAGAAAATTAAATTCAATTGCCTTGAGGGCACGTATGGACTATTTTAAAGTAACAACCCTCCGATTGAGATTACCTCTAATTAGGTGGTCGATTAATACAATATACTCCGAGTTAAATGAATGAGATTACCTTTGGGTTCTAAAGGTATATATGGTAATGATTGGAGGGAAGGAAAACTCTCCAATTACCATCTAATTAGAGATGGTTCAAACCCGATGACTTTTCCTCACTTAAGGTAGCATCAAAAAGACTCATTTGCCCTTAATTAATGAATTTAACCGTAAAAGGAATATTAGGTGATTCATTCAATTCAGTTAAATCACCAAATTGGTAATTGTAACACCATAACCAGGTTTTTGTTTTTCTTTTTTTCCTTTGACGATTTTTTGACATCAAAACTCCACCAATTCTGCAAATAGGCAGTTTTCATCGATGCCGTGAAAATTTGGAGGAAAATGTGATCACAAGCTTGCATGTGTGACATTTTCCCAAGGGATCACTGGGGCGATACGGACATGGCGATGCGATGAAAGTTATTGGGCTCTCAAATTAGATATGAGATTCAGAACTTAGGGTCAAATTTGGGGATAAAAATGAACTTAGGGTTTCTGGAAGAGAGGAAGACAAAGAGAATTTGAGCAAATACACCTCTAAAATCTCAGGCCAAATATCCGAATCATGTCATCTTCAAGCTCCCCAAACTCAAAAAAAAAAAAAAAGAATTTGAGCAACTAGGGATTGGGATCCTCTACTCATCATCAGTAGCTCCTAAAATTTGCTAATGCATCTTCACCTAAGCACAAAATGAAAGATGGTCCCACAAAATGAAAGGTGAATATGCATGATGACCAACTCATTATCCAATAGGAGGGGGGCACCTCACTTGTCCCTCTTACTGGTCTCATATTTTGGGTTCCTGTAGCAAAACTCATCTGAATCATGTCATCTTCAAGCTCCCCAAACCCAAAAAAAGGAAGAAAAAAAAGAAGAAATCTATGACACATCATGTAATCCCACCCATGATAGTTAAAAAAAGCCACAGCAGCATTATGATAACTTCAAAATTAAGTTACGCGGAGTCGCGTGCAATTTACCTGGTTATTTTTCTTCTTCGACAACAAAAAAAAATGTCTGATTGCCCATTTCATGAATTTGTAGTACCAAAAAGCCGTTGAAGAAATAAGAAAAATACGGAACTGATTAAAAGAAATACCAATTTGACAATCTAGCCCTACTCAATTCATGTTCGATTTTACGTTATCATTGACTTTTTGCTTTTTGAGGGAGCAATTACTTCTTGTTATTTTTTATGGAGAAGCGAATCACATTTTCTTCTTGAAGGAGATGCATGATTGATATATACATGCATGAAGATGAAGCAGTACACATTGAATGTGGAACTTGCATTGGAAAAGGAACAATAGGGCCGGGAGAGACGGATCCGTCCTTATTAAAGAAGAGCTCGTTGAGTAAATATTAAGTTAGTACATGAAAATAAGTATGAAAATAATTTAAGATATGCTCATCTAAGTAAGAAAAACTATATGATTCACTTTGTCCAATATTGGACAATTAGCTCCATTTTGAGAAGAATTCATGAAGCAGTGCGCTCATCTCCAAATCCATGTATTTTGCACTAAATCAAGAATATACAAGTATTGGAGTATATATGAGTATATCCCAAAATTATCAAGGAATGAGATGCATTCAAACTATTGGATTTCTTGGCATGAGGCTCCAAATTTTATCATAGTTTTAAATTACATACAAATATTATTTAATATCTTAAATTACACGGCAAGTAATTAACTATATTAACCATTGATTGTAATTAACTTAATATCTTTAATTATGATATACGCACTGCTTTAATTCCATATGTTCTCTCAACATACACTTCTCTCTCTCTCTCTCTCTCTCAAACCAAAGCCCAAAAAAGAAAAGAAAAAACCGATGAAACTTTGGTGGAAATGTTATCATTTGAAAGGAAAAACATATATTAATCAAAGGTAAAGAATTTAAAACTATTTTAGATTAACAATTAGTAAAAACAACGCACGGTTATATTATACAGATTATGTAATCTTTTACATAAGTTTAGGAGTACATTTGAAAGGAAAAACATATATTAATCAAAGGTAAAGAATTTAAAACTATTTTAGATTAACAATTAGTAAAAACAATGCACGGTTATATTATACAGATTATGTAATCTTTTAAATAAGTTTAGGAGTACATCACTTTTAAGCAGTCCAAATGCCCTGCCTGTATTTGATTCACCTTGCTCCTCTAACTCTTTAGGTCTTCACAGACTCTTAACTCTTTAGACCTTCACAGATTGTGATGATCCTCCTTTTTTTTATTCTGTTCTCTGAGAAATATCTTTTTGAGGAAAAGAAAAAGAACGTCTGTGACATATGTATTCCTTTTTCAGAGATAAGTTCCTATTTAAAGGGATCATATAGGTGGGATCTTATATGGATTTTTTTCTCATAGCTATTAGATTTAAACTCATCTAAATTATCTCTAAAAATCTTATCATTATCTCATAAGATCTCAAATCTCAACTATTATATCTCTTGAGATTTTGTAGATAACTTTAATTTAAATTTATAATTGCAAATATACTCATCAACATATTTGCAAAGAAACACTAGAGAAAAATCTATTTGCAAGCTAGTCCCTTTCTAGCACTTTTTTGCTAATAGGTCCTTCCACTATTATCTGTATTCCAATATAAGTTACAAAGACAATTTTATATATTTGCTGTCACTCTTATAACTTAAATTTAATTCTATATTAAATTAGATGTAATATATTCAACTAATATATTATTTATGTATTTGATAAATCTTTTATCAAATCACACAACCGGCTAGGTTTAACATAGTCCAATATAACCATTAGAATAACTTGGAATAGATAAGAAAATGAATTTGCCTTCACAATTTCCCCGTGGGTTTCATTCTCTTTATATAGACAATTTGTACAAGGTAGGGATTACAACAAATCCTAACAATCAGATCCTATATAACAGCCCAATCCCTACAATCAAGCTATGCTATGATTTACATGCCTATAGGATTGCTAACTACCTTGTTTACAATCCCTACAATCATGCTATGATTTACATGCCTATTCGATTGGGCTAACTACCTTGTTTACATTCCCCCTCAATCTTAACCATGACAAGGTTCAGATTGTGTCGTAGGCGATCAAGCATGTAGCGAGTGGCTGGCTTGGTGAATCCATCAGCTACCTGATCTTTGGAAGATACAAATCGGACATCAAGAGTGCCCAATGCAACCTTCTCCCTGACAAAATGGAAATCCACCTCTATGTGCTTCGTTCGTGCATGAAACACTGGATTTGCTGTTAAATAGGTAGCTCCAAGGTTATCACACCATAATACTGGTGGTCGCGGCTGACACACATCCAATTCTTTCAGCAAGGATTGTACCCACGTTGCTTCAGCTGTCCCATTAGCCAAGGCCTTGTACTCAGCTTCAGTGCTGGACCGAGATACTGTGGGTTTCTTGCGTGAGCTCCATGAAATCAGGTTGGAACCTAGAAATACTGCAAAACCTCCAGTAGACCTGCGATCATCCATGCAGCCAGCCCAATCGGCATCTGTAAACACACTCAGAAGTGTAGAGTTGGAGCGCCGGAGGTAAAGTCCCGTAGCAGCTGTTCCCTTGACATATCTTAAGATACGTTTGACTGCCTCCCAATGTACATCAGTGGGCTTGGAAAGATATTGACATACCTTATTAACGGCAAAAGAAATATCTGGCCTTGTTAATGTAAGATATTGCAAACCTCCTACCATGCTTCGATATTTGAAAGCATCATCATCATCCAGCACTGTTCCACAATCACGAGCAAGCTTATCTGTGACAGACATGGGGGTTGAAACGCTCTTACAATTCTCCATGTGAGCTCGGTGAAGAAGGTCAGAAGCATATTTGTGCTGCATCAAGGTGATTCCCCCTGAATTGTAGACGACTTCAATCCCTAGAAAATAGTGCAGCTGTCCAAGATCTTTGATCGGAAATGAGGAAGACAGGGCGCGCAGCAACTGATCAACTGCTGATTGAGAAGAGCCAGCAACCACGATGTCATCCACGTACACAAGCATGTAGATAGTGACGCCCCCATGATGAAACAGGAAAAGAGAGGTGTCGGCCTTGGAAGACTGAAAACCAAGCTGGAATAATCTGTCGCTAAGTCGTGAAAACCAGGCACGAGGCGACTGTTTTAGGCCGTAGAGCGCCTTTTGGAGTTTGCACACATAATGAGGCCGACGGGAATCCTCGAAGCCAGGGGGTTGCTGCATATAAACTTCCTCATCCAAGAAGCCATGAAGAAAAGCGTTGCTTACATCAATCTGTCGGAGTTGCCATCCTCGTGACACAGCTAGAGCAAGAATCAAGCGAATCGTTGCAGGCTTCACAACCGGACTGAAAGTATCCTGATAGTCAACGCCATATCGCTGAGTAAAACCTCGTGCAACTAGCCTCGCCTTGTGCTTATCAATAGAGCCATCCGGGTGCTGCTTAAGTTTGAACACCCATTTACATCCGACTATATTAACACCAGCCGGCCGGGGAACGAGAGCCCACGTGTTGTTCTTCTGAAGTGCTTCAAACTCGGCTTCCATGGCAGTGCGCCAAACAGGCTCAGCGAGAGCCAGTCGATGTGAGGTGGGCTCGGCGAAGAAAGCACGTCTGTTCGGATCATACCGAACTGTTCCGTCGGTGAGCTACTTGGGAAACGATTTTCCGGCACGACCACGTGTAGTGACACCATGTGGAGACTGAACAGGATCAGTTGGGACAGCAACATCGCTTGCAACAGCAGGCGCGGGCACAAGGTTGCCGGGTTCTTGGGCCAGTTGAGGCCCAGGTGCAGGAGGTGGTGCAGCATCGACGCGAGGCGGAGGCAACGTGGGTACAAGGTTGCCGGGTTCTTGGGCCAGTTGAGGCCCAGGTGCAGGAGGTGGTGCAGCATCGATGCGAGGCGGAGGCAACGTGGGCACAAGGTTGCCGGGTTCTTGGGCCAGTTGAGGCCCAGATGCAGGAGATGGTGCAGCATCGACGCGAGGCGGAGGCAGCGAAGATTCTGGACCGGGAGGCGGTGTAGCAGGTCCAGGTGTAACAGGCCCAATGCTGCATGTGCCCGGGACGTGAATCACAGGCGTGGGTATGAGCGCCGGTGGTGGTGGAGCTGCAGCTGCATTTGAGGTGTTAGACAACAAGAGCGATAAGTCATAATTTCGCATATGATCATTTACAATTACCGGTTCAGACTGAGGAAAGGAAACAGCACTGGACAAAGAAGATGGTGCGACTGAACAAGGTGAGGTAGCAAACGGAAAACGTGATTCATCAAAGATCACATCACGTGATATGTAGATCCGTCCAGTACTTTTGTCCAAGCACTTATACCCCTTGTGCATGGCACTATACCCTAAGAAGACGCATAGTTTGGATCGGAAGTCAAGCTTATGAGAGTTATATTTGCGAAGACTTGGCCAGCATGCGCAGCCAAAAATGCGAAGAAAGGAGTAATCAGGTGTTACGTTGAGGAGGCGTGTGATGGGTGTAGAGTTGTTTAGAGTACGACTGGGCATGCGATTGATGAGATAACAAGCTGTCAAGAAAGCCTCATCCCAAAACCGAAGAGGAAGGGAGGAGTGCGCAAGGAGAGCCAAGCCTGTTTCAACGATGTGACGATGCTTTCGCTCGGCCACTCCGTTTTGTTGTGATGTATGGGGGCACGAAACACGGTGCAAAATACCTGAACTCTGGAAATATTTATTAAGCCGGTGATACTCACCACCCCAATCAGATTGAACAGTGCGGATTTTGGAATTCAAAAGTCGCTCAACATGTTTTTGGAAATTATAAAAGATTTGTTCAACATCAGATTTATTCTTAATAAGATAGATCCAAGTATAACGACTGTAATCATCCACAAAACTTACATAATACTTAAAACCTCCAGTAGATGCTTGAGCTGGCCCCCAAACATCGGAGTGAATAAGCTCAAGTGGAGATGTGGTGACACGAACAGAATTATTATAGGGGAGTTGATGACTCTTTGCACGCTGACATGCATCACACACAGAGGACTCATAATCAAAAGAACAGTCTAATTTATTTAACTTCAAGATGGACCTAACAATTGTGGAAGTAGGATGACCAAGACGCTGATGCCATTGCGATGACGACACCTTGACACTGGACGATGCATGATGGGAAGTGGTGGAAGAGGAGCGGCTGGACGGCACTGGATAAAGACCTCCTCTGCTCCTACCGCGTAGAAGCGTTTTCTTCGTGGCCTTGTCCTTAACAAAGAAAGCATCAGCATGAAATTCAATGAAGACATTATTATCAGAAACAAGTTTATGAACAGAGAGGAGATGCTTATTGATATGAGGAACATGAAGGATATTTTTAAGAGCAAGAGGACGATCTAAACCGGAAATTATAGAATGACCAATATGGGAAATATGCAAACCTGCTCCGTTGGCCACTTGCACCTGATCCTTGCCATGGTAGCGCTCCTGGATGGACAGCCGATCTAGATCACTCGTAAGATGATCCGTAGCACCAGTATCAATATACCAGTTTGTGTCACCGTTGTAGCCTCCCGTGGTCGCACTGTTTCCACCACGATATTCATCTGGCTGATAGGAGTGATTGAACCTGTTGCGACAGTTCAACGCAATGTGGCCTGGGATGCCACACACTTGGCAGCGAGGGCCACCATTGTTCCTGCCACGGCCGCGGCCTCGTCCGCGACCACCACCGCCATTGCGGTAGTTATTCCTATGGTTGTTGTTGGTGGTGGTGTAGCCGTTGTTACTGTTGTTGCGACGAGGAGCGTTGGATTCCTGGCGCGTGACGTTGTTGGCGGATGACGTGAACTCCGCCGTGCCGCTCATCAGCGTGGCTTGGGTCTCATGAGAAATCAGATAGGAGTAGAACTCCGGAAGAGTCACCGCACGCTGATTGCTCAGCACAGTGATGGCGGTGAAGAGATCACTATGGCCCGGCCCCAGACCGGCGAGTATGTAGCCGATCACCTCTTCATCGGACATGGGACGTCCAATGTGCGCCATAGTATCAGCGAGTCCCGTCATCTTCTGATAATACTCTGCTGCGCTCATGTCGCCCTTTCTCGTGTTCGAGAGCTGCGCGCGGATCTGGATTGAGTTCCCGCGGTGCTGAGCGGAGAACATGGTGTGGAGTGATGCCCACAACTGGCCGGACGTGTCGATCTGACGGATGAGTTGAGGCAGAACGTCCTCTGTCATTGAGGACAGGAGGCCACCAAGAATGGCCTGATCCTGGACGATCCAGGTAGCACGGGCAGGATTCAAGACCTGCCTTGCATCGGTGTCGGTTCCCTCAGTCACCATGGCGACGGGCATCGGTGTAGTGCCATCGAGGTATCCAAAGAGCTGGACACCCCGTAAGATGGGAACGACCTGCGCCTTCCAAAGCAAGAAATTGGTGCGCGTTAGTTTGCAAGTGATAGCAGTAGCGATGGTGGAAGACTTGATGAAAGAAGACATGGTAGAGTCGCTCGGGGAGGAAGCCAGGATGCCGGAGATTTGTGAAGCGCTGGAACCCGTCATTGTGATGGAGAGGGTAGATTGGAAAGGCTCTGATACCAAGATAAGAAAATGAATTTGCCTTCACAATTTCCCCGTGGGTTTCATTCTCTTTATATAGACAATTTGTACAAGGTAGGGATTACAACAAATCCTAACAATCAGATCCTATATAACAGCCCAATCCCTACAATCAAGCTATGCCATGATTTACATGCCTATAGGATTGCTAACTACCTTGTTTACAATCCCTACAATCATGCTATGATTTACATGCCTATTCGATTGGGCTAACTACCTTGTTTACAGGAATAACAATATTCTTCATAAGATTACTTGTGGATTCCTTGTTAAGAACAACACATTTCATAAAATGTTTATGCAACCCAACAAGCTCATTTATAGTCTTTCAATTAGACATCAATGAATGAATGGCTATATCAAAGTTAACATGTCCACCATATAGATAATGATATTCTTTTAGGTCTAAGGACCACTTTACAAATTACAAGTATATCTCATATTTTCTTGACAGCAATAATTATTGAGAGGACTTGTTACTGATCCAATCCAACACATATACTTACTTATTATATATGTCCACGTGTTCACTTAGTAATCCACTATTATAAATGGTTGAGACAAATTATCTCGCAAATATGAGAGTGTAACAAATGTTAGTTTCCAAGTGAAATGCCCATCTTTTCGCTTAACAAAGAAGATTAAGATTAAGTGATTAGAAAACTTTGTCTCTATCTTTATGATTCATCGATCATCAGGGTCGGTCCTGAGCATTCGGGGGCCCTAGGCAAAAACTTGAACAAAAATCTTAAAGGGGCCCTCCTATATTCAAGATTTTTAAAAAAAAAATAAAGTGTTGCACCCAAGTAACTTTAGGGATGCCTACATAAAAAAATATATACAAATACTAAAATATATAAGATCAACAAATATTATAATTTATAAAATTATAAAATTACCTTGAAATTTGAATAGTTTAACTTCAAACAAATTTCAGATCAACACGCCTGAATCCTAAAAGATGCACTTTTATCTTTTCTTCCTATTCAATAGACAAAAACAAAGTTTGGACTTAAAGATTTTTTTGGGACACGATGCAATCATTTTAAGTATGGATCACTAGCTACTGATTTTCATTGTTCAGGTACCGCACTTTGATTATACAGCCTGTATGCATATTATGGTTTCTTGTTTCAATTGATTAATCACTAATCAGCAAATATACTAAGTATAGTCTGATTCATAATTTCATATATGTTATGCACAGATTCATACTTTGTTTATACAACTAATTCATGTATGTTAATAATGTTATGCACAGATTCGTGCTGTATAGAATCAATAACAAAGCAAAAGTATTATTAGGTCATGAAGTGATGAAACAAAGATATCATGCTATTCTAAGTATAGTCTGTTATCTGTATAGAATTATAGAAATATTCAATTATTCAAATATACTTATATACCTTGTAACCTTAGTCGCCGGCCAGAGGAGGCGCAGATTGCAGACAAAGACAGAGTCTCCAAAGGGCAAAGGCGCTGGCGGCAAGGTCGCGTTTGCCTTGCTGGTGGGAGGGACGGAGGGAGTCGCCGGAGACGGCGTCGTGGAGTTTGACGGCGGAGGAGCGGACTGCAGACGGTCCGGACGGAGTCGGGAAGAAGAAACGTCACTTCAGAGAGAATCAGAGAAGAAGAAGAGAGGTCGGCGATCAGACGGCCACTTCGGAAATCGGAGAGACCAAGGGTTTTTCGTTTTTGTATTTATAGCCTCTAACACTTTTGCATAAAAATCCTCTTACTTTTCCAATTTCCATATATATATATATATATAGCAGAATTTGACTCTCTGGAACTGAACTGTAATCACAAAAGCCCCAATTAACTTTGATGTGCAGTATTTATCTGGAACCCATATGATCCAAAAGGAGAAACCTCTATTGGAAGTTAGTTTTACTCACAATTAACCACCTCTCCATTTCTTTCTTTCCAGTATCTCACTCAACTCACACCTTTTGACTTGGGTCTTTTTATGTCCCTTCTTAACAAAAGTGCTTACTAGTCAAACTCAAGTCATGACATCAACAATCTTCACCTTGCCTGACAATTAAACCACCTTTGGGACTGAGTAATCACAAAACCTTGTTAACTTTGACATGTAGTTGTCTGTATGGAACCCATATGATCCAGGAGGTGACATCTCCATTGGCAGCGTAACTTTAATCATAATCAACAACCTGTTCGTTTTTTTCTTTTCGGTACCATACAAAACCATCTTTTTTTTTCCTTTCTCTTTATTGTCCTTCTTTCTTATGAGTATAACTCAAGTCATAACCTTACTAAACTTGTTTCTGTTTTTCAATTACAGTGTTTAGCTTCGACTCTGCTCAAAGGTTGGTGTCAATGCTAGATCGGGGGTTCGTGTTGACCAGCTTTGACAAGGATCCCACTTTAAGTGGATGAATCTGATGTGGCAATGGTGAACGCCAACTCTGATATACCATAGCATCGATGCCTATGTTGCACGGCTGGGGATGCGGACACAACACGGCATGTGTGCGGATAGGAATACGACAAATTGGTAAAAGATAGGATACGGGGACACGGCTATACATATACATATTGAAATCAATAATTCATATGAGATCGACATTGTTTTTCATTCACATATTACGAGAAGTTAAATCACTATAATATTATTATGTTTCTTTTATGTAGTAGACTAAATTGAAAAATTGCTTGTCTTTTGAGCTAGATACCCAAACGACCCTTTAAAATCATACTTACGAACTAAGTATGGGTTAAAAATATGTAATTATATATTTGAGAAGTGTCCAAGGAGTGTCGGACACGAACACAGATACAGAAAGTATCAGGCACGGATACGGGGGCCCATATGAACTGTTTGGGAAACAATTTCCTTGTGTTTTCATTTTTGGATTCGTTCAATGTGATTTATAGGCTTCTATACTTTCATAGCTGTATATTATGATATCTGAGAATGTTTATGCTTGTCCTTGCCATATTGAAGTTGGATCATGAATAATATGTTTATTATCATGTTTTTCCGATGTTAAGCAAAGTAGTTGATCATACTATTATCGATCTAGTTGCTCTTGTTTTATATCCATGTTGCTTAGAGCTTATGTCATGTGATGGCCTAGAATTCCATTACATTATGCATATTGATACTAGGAAACTATCATGGATTTTTAATGTGTTGGTACATTTATGATGTAACTTAACAACTAGGAGTATGCATGATTAGGCATCAAAATGTGGATTATACATGATAACGATGATTGCTATGTGTTTGAATATAAGGCGTGTCCCTCATGATACCAAATCAAGAACAAGTAGGATAAAGCAAAAACAAGTTATCGACTTGGGATACATTGCATCTAGTGAGTGTGGGCTCATGATCATCCACCAATCAAAACTTGATCAAGTATAAACGTATGATAATTCAGAAACCATGACCAAGTATTTGTGTATAGTAAGTCATGATTGACTTATGTTTGATGTTTGACGAGCATGATTAGGAGCTCTGGAAACCCAGTTGAAGAGGATAGCCATCCATGGATGTTCTCTATAGATTGAGTTGTTCGAGCATAGCGCATAACATATCATGCATAATTAAGTAATAAAAAATTCATGTATGTTAATTATCGAGGGGAAATGGATATCTATTAGAGAATATGCGGCTTAGGATTGCGTTTGAGCGCTAGTGCTTTAAAGGAGTTTATTTGAACAAAAACCAAGACTAAGTACGAACAAGATCAAGTTCCCTGTGGGCATTCCAAACACACATTACTAATAAAAGATTTCCTAACTAAGAGTTGATAAAAGTCATGTGATAGTTAATACACACTACGTGATGCATCACACTTGAGGATCTAGGCGCACTCGCTTATGATATTTGTTGTTGTACATTGCTGTTATTTTTTTCTATTGTTCATCCGTCAGCTATAGTTTTACTTCTGCTTCTGTGATGCATGTTTACCTGATCATGATGTATTATAAGCTACTACCATTATATATTCTTTCTTGCAATTACACAAGCTATGCATCCATAATATTTGTTACATAAGCATATACCATCCCTTCATTTTGCACACTTGCTAGACAGCCTCTTGATCGTCTTGGTCTCACACACTAGTTGCGAACTCAGAATCTATCATACCATATGTTGACACGCTTGCACCCAATAAGTCCTAATAGTAGGAGTGATGGACCTTCCAGTGTATCAAGCGTTCTTCTTGCTATCATCTCAGTTTATCTTATTGCTTCTTTTCCGCTTTGTGGACTAACTTTATGTACATATTACCTATTCTACTGATGTAGTGGAGTTTATAGCTTGTGGCATCTAGGTTTATGTATTTATTGTTGGACATCTATGTATCAGATTTGTGATACTTATCTATCAGCATTATATGTGGACTTGTTTAATATTGCAGTATTATATATTTGTTTCTGATGAATCTGTTGTGTTCATGTGATATTCATGTGATATTCTGTGATATTGTCTGAACGATGGATATTGTGATGTATGTATAGATCTTATATAGTCTTAAGTATATATTTTTGGGTGGAGTTTGGCCCAATCGGGTATATTGCTTAACATAGTCACGTGCTCAGAGCGAGTTAGTTGGTTCTGAAACCTGATAGCTACTGGGCAGTAGCCACTTAGCAGCTCCTCAGTGTTCTAATTGAAAGAGAGACCCTGTCATTGAGCTCTCTTTTGGTCAAATCTCACTTTTTTTACTTATATCAAATTTCTTATCTAGCAACCTCATTTAATTTGATTTGACACCCACTCACATTCCCAGTACTATTCTCATATTGGAAATACTTTTTACCTAGAATATAAAATTTAGTAGAAGAACAATTACAAAAGAAATTTAACGTCTCCAGACGTTAGAAACATTCATTCAAGCTATTTTATCTATTGTTGCTAATAAAATAGCTTTTACTTCTGATGTTTGTGAGTCTCTTAACCAAAATTA